TCTGGCTGGGGTTTAATCTTCTCTGGGGCATGTTATAGAAAAGTGGGAATTCGGACTAACAAACTTTTTCATCTGCCTCCACAGCCTGGCTGCTAACAGCTGGAGACCGGTTACCTTAGGCAACCTGGGAGTTTCTGTTTATTGTTCTTGTCTCCTTCTTTTTTAACTTGGTACGTCTGATGTCTTGCTTGCTTCTTGTAGCATTTTAATATCGTGTACAAAGCTGAATACCGTCTTGAAAGCAACCCTGCTAACGTTTACAGAGGGTACAAAAAAGATTCTTCAACAGAATTGACCTCTCAGTGGCAAAGAAAATTGCACTGGAAGACACATGATTGCATCGTCGTATCAGAGCTTTGGATCTGCAGAGAGTCTCACTCCACTGTCCTCCAGCCTTTCCTTATAAACCAAAATGGCTCACAAATGTCATCTACAATAGTCCAATAAAGATTAGGAACAAAACACTGTCCTTACGCTGATGAGATAAGGAAGATTCAGCTGCAGAATGCAGTATAGAAGAACAGTTCACGAGGCTTGTTCTCAAATCAGAAAGATAGAATTCAAATTGCATTGTCGTGTGTGTTTAAAATTTAATTGAAATGATCAGTTTGTTTTCTGCGTAATGTTCGATCAGATGCCTGTGTCACGGAGCTAGATAAAAAAGAAAAGAAGGAAAACAAATTCTATCAGGGAAATCAAGAAGACCTGTTATCTTCAGGGTGTGCAGAATATGTCAGGAAATAATTCTACCCTGTGCACCGAGAATGCCCAATTAATAAAAAACAGATCAGTCACTCACTACGAGAAAATAACGGCCTGTATCTATGTTTTCCAAAGCAAAGTGGAAGGCACATCTTACATTAAATAGGACACATTAAAATAAGCTTTAATAATTTTTATGCAAACGGAAACTAATCCATTTTCAGTTCATACGATCCATGGCAATAAAAGGAAATCATCAAACTAAAAACAATTTTAGAAATGGCTACAGTCTCTCATTTAATTAACATGCAACAGATCATATATTTATGAGGAAGTCAAAATATTTAGGAAGTCTATAATCCTGTAAGCCTTAATGTGGTATAAAAACAACAAATAAATGCAAAGTGTTACTGTTACACATGCCTGCCTGATCAATGGTTTTCACATATTGATCTATAAATGGATTTGACAGTCTGTGTTGCCTGCACATTTTCCAAGCAGCGCTATTTTTGCACAAAACCAATACGGGCAATTACCTTTGTTTGAGATGCCAAGTCTTATCAATTCAATGTGATTTAGTGTCATTTTAATTAAATATCAGGATCCACTTCAGGACAATTTATCCAAACAAAGCCTCAAACTTAACTATAAGCTTGATTTGAAGTAAATATGGACATGCCCTACAATCTCATAATATTTCTCAAAAAGTCTGCTAAACAGAAGGCTTATATTTTTAGTAGTGATTTTTATGTCTGCCTTTTTGGCTAGCCACAACTTTGGCAAGTGTCCTATAACGACAGAAGTAAGAAACAAAAGAAATTTGTTTCTTCTTTCTCCTGATAATACATTGAAATGAGAGACAGAGAAGAGAGAGAGACCAGGAGCAGTGTGTTAATGGGGGTGAGAGGGAACTCGTATGTTAACACTCAGGGATGGCTCGACCTAAGTCCTCATCGAAACATCAGTGAAAACATATTTCCCTCTTCATGATGGCCATGAATGTAGTAATGCCCTTCTGTGGGTTTGCGGGATGGGAATGGTGAATATTCATGCTTGTCACTGCTGAAGACACCAGCATTAAATGCTGAAATGGCTCCAGCCTGCAGATCCTGTGTTTGCAGCTTCCTGGTTTGGACTGCTTACACTGTTCATTAATATCTATTTTAAACTGTCTGGTAGACTGGAGCATCCCCACGATAAATAGGCTTCGAAGTGCACTGAACCTTTGGCACTAGCTCTTTGCTGGATTGGACATTGGCCTTTCTGCCCTTAGACAGGCAACTTCCCTTGCTCCGTTTTTTTTCCCCTTGCCGACTGCTTTTTCAACTAGTGTGTTCTGGAAAACAAGCCACCCTCCTTTCAGGGGTCTCACTGTGCACCTCTGCATGGAACAATTGATCACTGTGGAAACCAGGGAGTTCCTTTCCACTCAACTGGAATGTTCTGTCTTTCTTTTATGGAGAGGCAATTTTCTTGCAACCTGCATCCTTCCACATCCAATAGTCCTAGCTCCTTAACGTTCCCTGAGTATCAAATTAACCTCTTGAAATTTTGATATTGATTATTTGATGATTAAAGAGAACAACACATGCAAAATCCCCATATTCCCAACCAAATTCGCCTCTGCTTATAATTCTGGGGGGTTGAAAAACTACATTAACATTTCAAAATACCTTCAATTTTCAGAATCTTAAAAGACTTACAAATGACATATTATATATTATAAGTACACAGTCATATAAAAATGCTGCAACTCAATAAATGAAATTATGAATTAATGAAAAAGTCTATTGATTTTATCCTAAAACATTAAAAATAATAATGAAATCACTGGGATTATCTGACAATTTATGCAATTAGTTAGTCCAGTAGTTTAAAATGAGACTTTCCAATGAACAGTTATTATAAACAAGACATTTTTATTGAACAAGACACACAGCATATGCATGACCTCCAAGTACGTAGTGTTTCTTTTGTAGAGACACCATGTGTGTGTGTGTGTGTCTCCTAACAAACTGCTTTGTGTAAACACGCGTACACATTTTTAGGGTATCTCGCCCCCACTTCCAAATGCGAACTCTCCCCCTTGACCTCACACCATCACCCAACTTCTGAAGAACCAAGCAGATAACTTTAACAGGCTTGTTTGAATAAATATGCCAAAATACTTTACATTCTGTCAGTATCTAGTCAGAGAATTGTGCATGGGAAAAAAAAAGATGAGAAGAACTGAGACAGAAAGAAAATTACTGCCATGGCAGGCTTTCAATACAGACTCTCTGAGCCAAGTTTCCTCCGTGAAATGACATATCCTCACTAACATACCCCCTTTTATATAATTATGCACCGAGTACCCATAACCAGAAGTAACTTTTATTTTTGTTCCTTATCGAGGAATCCATATTGCTCAGACTAAGAATGCGGAAACAAAAACTGGGATAATTACAGCTAATTTAACTTTGGAAAACTCTTTTTTTTTCTCCAGCCGTCCAGCCTACAACCCCCCAAACTAAAGTTATGTAACAAGGTAATACCAACAATGAGAAACTGCATGATAAAATCCTGCCCAAAAGTAAAAAATGCTAATTTTGTCTCATTTAGCAGCTGGATACAGAAATGCTCATTAGTTTTAAGAGGGTTAATCCTTTTAACTTTTGCATATTGATATGCCAATTATGCCTAATTGTACAAGAGGCATCAGTCAAGGTAATAGTGCATAAACACATGAAAGTTATTAAGTACATCCCAACATGTAATAAAGTAGGTGTTAATTGGTAGCTGAGTTCTGCGGGCTATTGAGGTGGATAATTCATTGAGAGATGGATCACTTGTAATTTCTCTCCATAATTCCTTTTGCGGTCTCATGCTGTGATGTTTTCATGCTTGTCAAAAACAACTGCGGCATAGTGCCTTTTGTTAAACACAGCCAATAAAATATGCTAGGCATCATTAAATATACTTAACTTCTAAACTTTTCTCAAGGTACAGTTCTTCTGGAGGGAACATATAGAGAGTCCGATAATTGACTCCAACCACTGTCTCAAGCTCGTAGTTGAGAAACAGTTGAGCTGGCTTGAAAGCGGAGGCAGCTGACGGTGCTGTGCCTCCCAGCAGACAATCGTTGTAAATGAGAAAGTCAATAAAGGCAAAGGCTTTGCTCACGAGTTACCTCGTCTAAGGATGGGTTTCTCACTACCCCTGTACCAACATGGGCTCTCTCACGTTACGTCTGCCTACAACACCTGAGGAAGAAATGATTGAATTTATGTATTTCTCAGCCCCCTGAGATTGCTGTGGGTTAATTTTGCCCTTGAAATGCAAGTGAAAAGTGGAAAATAAATATGATTGGTAACAGTCTACTCAGTCAGTTTACCTCATTGAATCACTCAGGGAGCTGAATATTTCATACGCCCCGATGATAACATCAGAATACTCAATTAATAGCTCACATGCTCCTGCACGGTGACTGGGACTCACAGTCTGTCCCCAGCTAACTTATCTCTCACTCCTCCTCTCTCTGTGACAAACAAAATAGATCTGGGGTCCAAAAGAGTGGCTAACACTGCATAAATAATTTTGTAACATTCTATGGCCTCAGCTGCAAGTTACCACCATTATGCTGGAAAATTAACCAGAGGAGACTCATCGTAATCAGTGGGTTTAGTGGCTCAGGATGCGTGCAGGGCCAGGGACACAATTGGCAGTAGAGTTCATCTCTAACTATTTTATTTCAAATCCTTCTAATGACACATTATCAGAACAAAATGGCTTCCTCCCCAAACCTTAAATAGCCGCACCATTGCAGCCGCTGGAGCCCACCGCAAATCAAACCACACTTTCCACTCTTCTCTATTATGGGGAGATTTGAAGAAAGAGATTTTCACATTTTTTAAGTTGTTGATATTTTTTTTTCTCCCTCAGTTCACTCTTAGCTAATTTTAGCCTCTGGCTTTTCAAAGTGATGTACTGTATTTGGAAGTACAAACGCCGCATGCTCGCATAACCTCATTATTTTTATGACACTGAAGCATGATAGCAGAGGCCCTTAAAATGAGTCAAAGGTGCTCTTCAGCCTGGCTCCCCATCCCCTTTATCACTCTGGATTCGGCCCAGCTCTGCTCTTGTAACTGGGGATGTTATTATGACTATAACTAGGCAAGATAAAATCCATTACAAAACAGTTTTCTGGTGTACATTAGGTAAACAAACAAAACAAAGCTAATTAGCATTTTTTTTCTCTCTCTGTCTTTTTATCTGTCTGCTCAGAGAAAGTGGCATGTTTGGAGTATTTGACTTACAGGTTCAGTGACCTTCCCAGCATCGGTGAGGATCATGGATTTAGTTTGGCTTAGCCTGTCGTGGTGGCTGTTGGCATTTTTGATTCTCATTTGAACTGCTCCTGGAGCTTGGTGGACAGGATTCAGTGCTTCCAAAGGGTTATCACAATTTGTAGATGTCCGCGCACCACAGCTTATCCTGGTGAAGTATAAAACATTATATTACTATAAATAGAAACACTTCCTATGAAAACCTGTTAGTGAGTGGACATGCCTCTTCATCATTACGTCACTAAAATTCAGTGGTCTGAAGCGTTCTCAGTAGGATGAGCCAGTTGCCACTTGGTGCTCATTTTTAACAGCGCTGCCCTCTATCCCCACAGACATCAGCCATTTTTAAGAAGCACAGCTCCTAGCTCTGTAACCTCTAATTCTATTAGAAACTTCTGTGTCGGGACGGAAAGATGACTAAGACAGCTAAGACCACCTACTGCTCCTGCAGAGCTATCTCAGTTTCCAGCTTCCACCTTGGGCAGCTCACAGCTTTTGCAGTTAATCCTGCTCCAGAGGATTCAATACTCTCCTGTGGCTTCCATGGGCACTGTGCTCATGTGCCCAAAACCCACACTCGCATATATATGTCCTTTAAAAATAAATTCTTTTAAAAATATTTGTTTACCATTTTGGTTTTTATGTGTGGGTGCTTTGCCTGCAGTATGCCTGTGCAACATGTTCACGCAGTGCCCATGGAAACCAGAAGAGGGTATCAAATCACCTGGAACTGGATGTAAAGATAGATCCAAGCTTGCTGCATAAGGCCTGGGAATCAAATCCCTATCATCTGAAAGAATAATCAGTGTATTTATGGCTGAGCTAGTTAAAAAACTAAATAAATAAAAAACTAAATAAATAAAGCTAAATAAAATCTTAAAAAAGGAGAACATATACAACAGGTTTTCATATAGGGTGATGTTCCAACTCTTCAGTATTAAGGATACAGGCTTTTCATCCTTGTCAGTTTTGTATGCACACTGTGTGTGCCACTAGCACTCTGTGTGTGTGTGTGTGTGTGTGTGTGTGTGTGTGTATGTGTGTGTGTGAGAGAGAGAGAGATAGAGAGAGAGAGAGATACTTGAATGAAAAATAGAATTAGTGTCAGAGCAAAACAAACAGACCTAAAGGACCCCTCTCGCAATATCCCCAAGAAGAAATTAAAATTCTTGTGTCCATTGGCATCTGCACACTGAACTCTGCTACATCCATTGGACATAATATTTAAGTAGAATATATTGAAAAAGAAAAGCACCGTTTACTTATTTTTCTATACATTTTATTTATTTATGGTATATATGCCATAGAAGGAGTCTAACTTTGGCAACCCCTGTGCAGGCACACTTTACGGAAGCAGCTGTGAGGGGAATAAAGCAGACGCATAGCATTACCTGAGGAAGAATACCCTTCACCTCCCCCACCTCCCTTCGAAGTCCTTCATGTGAGTGCACCTTCTAATTCTAAGAGAACATTCATGATGCAAATCAAGCATCCCAACTGCTTCTTTCAGACCTTTTCCTGCCTGGTACTGTCAATACTGGGCACGTGGGTACAACATTAGACAAAGAAACACCTCATCAATTCAAGAAGAAAAAATAACTCAAAGGAAATATAAATCAAAAGTCTTCTTACATTAGACAATCAAGAGTATTGTTATCCATGGGTTTGAAATGGGATTAGAATCATAATAGAGATCGAGAAAAATCGGTACTAAAATATGCAGCAAAGATGGGGGTTTTTGTTTGTTTGTGTTTTGGTTTTGAGACAGGGTCTTGTATATTTTCCTTGGACTTTAGAGTCCCTAACCCTTCTATCCCTACCTTCAGTGCTTGGGTTAGAGATTTGTACCACTGTGCTAGGGAAAACAATGTGTTTTAGTATGAAAACAATAAACAGCAATTAGAAAATTATGACAACTAGTTGGGCAGCGGTGGAGCATGCCTTTATTCCCAGAACTCAGGAGGCAGAGACAGGCGGGTCTCTGTGAATTTGAAGTCATTCTCACTACAAAGTGAGTCCCGGGACAACCATGGCTACACATAGAAACCCTGTTTTGAAACACTACCATAAAAAAGAAAATTACAAAAACTAAGAAATGTATCCAGAATTTTTTTAATGCATGGTAGTCAATCGTCACATTAGTTCATTTCTTGATTCTCTAAAACTCCTGTGAAATAGGCATTCAATTCAAGTTTTACAGAGGAGATAAATGCAAAGGGACTAAGGACTTTCCCAATAACACTGGCAAAGAAGGCGAAATGTATACCTGAGTCAACCAAAAGCAATACAGAGGAGCAAATTCTAGTGTATCTATACAATGCAAATGAAGACCGAGGGGACTCAGCAGTTAGAGCTCTGCTGTTTCAGAGGCCCCAAGTCCTGATCACACTGCTCATATTTGGCTGCTCACAACAGCCTTTACTTGTAGCTCTGGGAGTTCAAAGCCTTTGTTCTCCAAGGGCAACTATACTTGTGTGCACCCATCTACAGATACATATGCACATACATAGCAAACGTCTTACAAACGGAATAATCTATCCACGGACACTAAGATGAAGAATCAATAACTCATTCTGTCAACTGAATGAAGCCAGTCCCAAGGAAAAGTGGAACAACTAGAAACATTGTAGATAGCTGTGGTCTCACACATTTCTAATTACAGCACTTGGGAACCTGAAGCAGAAGGGTGGTAAACTCTGGGCCAGCCTGGTCTATATAAGAAGAACCTGTCTCGAAACGAAAAGAAGAGCATTTGTTCTGCTATCATATTAATACAGTGTTCTAAAAACGTGCAGGCCAACGTGGGACAGAAACCCAAAGAGCAAATGCTTAAGGAGAAAGAAGAGAGTTGGGGCAATAATAGCTTAGCTGTTATTGAATAGGAGGCGGTGTGGGAGTGATAGAGATATTTGTCTTATTGATTAAATGCTGAGATGGTTTCATGTTCATGTAACAAAATGAATACATTGTGCACACTAAATAGTTACACTCTATCACATTTTGGATATAATAAGCAAAGTTGTTTAGAGGAAAGCTGTTCTAAGGATTCCTTAGTTATGTTTTTAAGTATGCCAATCTGAATGTGCTGTAAAACTCATCTATTTGAATATCAGACAAGAAAGAGCTCTTTCAATGGGTATGAAGGAAAAAATTGAGGTAATGTATTACCCTTCAATTCACATTAAATAATTGCATTTTACCTTCCTTTAGACAGGCCTTTTATTTTTAAGTGAAGTTCTCTGAGTGCATTCAAGGCTTGCTATTCCACATTACTCAGTGGGTTCAAAGTCTATGTGTCGGAAGTTTATCATATTAGTAAAGTATGCATCCATGCTGAAGTCTCTGTCTTCTTACTGAGACTATCTATATACTGTATTTGCAGAGTCCCACCATGCACCATTTATAGGACTTGCTGCTTTTCCACATTTGTGCAACTTTTGGTATCCTCCCCCAAATTGCATTCTTATACTTATTTTAAAGCCAAATTGCCTGGTGATGTACTACTGTCAAAAGGCAGGGTTACATGCAAAACTTCTGGCTTTCCTGATGATTTGCTTAGGGACAATCTCCCTATTTCAGCGATTTCCCTTAGCTGAATGACTCTTCCTGCCCATGGCTCTTGGTTTTTGCTCTTCCCCCCCCCCCAACTACTGCTTCCTCTTCCATCTGGCCTCACATTGTTAATATCTCGCTACACCACGCTTCTTGTCTTTCTTCAGCAATCCTTGTGTTGTCGTCGTCCCTGTCTATAGGGACTATATGCCATTTCTCCTGGTACCCACCTGAAATTGGACAATGATGAACATCATTGCTTGCTATACTTTCCTCTATGCGGATATGTTAGAGATATAGGTTATTTTATAAATCACACACATTAAGAGATTGTAATTATAACATTGCCTTGTGTAGGACTGTGATGGACCACTAGGCACCACATAATCAACTAGAAGATGTGGAACACTGGATCTAATTGCTGACAGAGTTGCCAAGCCATAAGTAAGTGGGTATCATTACAACTAAGACACTACTCACAGAGATGGCTCATGTTCTTGAGAGTGTCCAAGCAGACAGCACTCCCTTTCACCATGATCTCAGAGCAGCACCTGGCTTCAAACTTAAGATTGGCTTTTATTTAAGGAAATTTTCATTTAATACTTTCAGAATATGATTGGCGGTAGGTAATTGAAGCCACAGAAAGCTCGGGGGCTGAAACTAGATTTTATTTGGCTGTGTTACCCACTTTGTACCATTGCGCAGGTTAGTTTCATCAACTTGACCCAAACTCTAGTCACCTGAGAAGAGCAAACCTCAACTGAGGAGCTGCTCCTTCAAATCTGCCTATGAGGAAAGGCTGTGGAGAATTTCTTCATTAATTATTGATGAGGGAGGAGGACTCAGTTCCCTGTGCGCGGTACCACATCTGCACATGTGGTCCTGATGACTTAGTATCTGGAAGTGACTGTGTGTATTGCAGGGCATCTTCAAAAGGACATGAAGAGCTCTGTGTCTTTCTACACTATTCCAAAATTGTTCACAGATATTTTCAATGGTATTTTACTTTTCTACCCTTGACTCAATTCCATAAGCCCTCACTTGTCTAGATTTTGTAATGTTAGTGATGCTTGTTTCTTCTTTGGGTGGCTTAGTACCTCCAGCATATTGCTAAGACCAGTTGGAGGAATTCTGTTCATATTGCATCCTCATTCCTGCTCAGATTCCCCTCCATTTATCTTCGACTATGTCATTCACTTAAGTCACATGATAAAACACTGATGCTTTCTACGGGTGGTACTCAATAATGATGAATGACTAACAAAGATACGGAAAAATCAAGACAATTCTGCATGTGCCTGCGAGACCCACTGATTTTTATACCTCTCCCCCAAATCCCAGATTCCCAATTTAGAAATTTAAATATAAATCGTTCCATCCTGGCTTTACTATTCCTCTAAACTTCTGATTTTTGTACGCACTCAGAAGTCAAGAATATCTTGCGGTATCGCTGAAGTTCCACTTTGAATCCTGTTTTAAAAACAGGAAGTGTGGCAAGAACACACTTCATAAGGGCCACACAG